GTCTCTTCAGCCTGGAGAAGAGACCCAGTTCCCTCAGTCTCGCCTCATAAGGCATCCCCTGCAAACCGGCCACCAACCTTGTGGCCCTACGCTGCACTGACTCCAACCTGGCTATATCCTTTCTGTAATGAGGGGCCCAAAACTGAGCACAATACTCCAGTTGCGGGCGCACCAGAGTCGTATAAAGGTAAAGGTAATGGTTTTCCCTTGACATTAAGTCCAGTCATGCCTGACTCTAGGGGGCAGTGCTCATCTCCGTTTCCTAGCCGAGGAAGCCAGCGTTTGTCTGCAGACAGTCTCCGTGGTGATGTGGCCAGCATGACTAAACACCAAAGTGCACGGAACGCTGTTACCTGCCCACCGAAGTGGTACCTTTTTATCTACTTGCATTTTCATGCTTTCAAACTGAAGGGTTGGCAGGAAGAGTCGTATAGAGTGGTAGTAATACCTCTCTCGATCTAGAAGCCACGCTTCTGGCTATGCAACCAAGGGTAGCGTTCGCCCTCTTGACCACCGCATCACACTGCTGACTCATGTTCAGCCTGCAGTCGACCAGCACCCCGAGGTCCCTTTCACAAGTGCTGCTCTCCGGCCACTTATCCCCTATCCTGTACTTATGACACCCATTCCCATGCCCCAAGTGCAAGACCTTGCACTTATCCACATTGAACGCCATCCTGTTGTCTCCCGCCCACTTCCATAGTCTGTCCAGACCCTTTTGGATCTGGAGTACCTGCTCCTCAGTTGTGGCCACTGCTCCAGTTTTAGCATCGTCTGTGCATTTGATCAGCAGACTGTTCACCCCTTCTTCCATGTCATTGATGAAAAGATTAAACAGGATCGGCCCCAGGACAGAGCCCTGGGGGACCCCGCTTGTCACTGGCCGCCATCCCAATGAGTCCCCACTAATGGTTACCCTCTGCTTTCGGTCAGTCAACCATGCCCTAATCCAATCCACCGGACAGTGCTTTGGTGTATCCCAAAACTCCTCAGTTTCTCCACCAGGATGTCACGGGGCACTTTGTCAACGGCCTTGCTGAAATCAGAAGACCAAACGGAAGAGAGGTGCACGTGAGGCACAGCAGTCTTCCAGAAATCTTTGCCCCCAGTTTCCTCGGCTTTATAGCAGCATTTGGATTGTGCCTGGAAGCAAACTGGAAGCCAGTGTGGTTGATATAAGACCAGCGTACTATAACCTATAAATAACACCTGAAAGCAACGACTGTCAGCAGCTGTTTCTCCCTTTGCACTTTCAAAACAGACCATTTAGGCAAAAGTTCATTATTCTCTAGTGTACATCCAGTCAGCTGAATCAACACAGAGGATGTCTCTGAGCATGCACAGAGCAGTTTGCGGAACCCAGTTCAGCAACTACTCCCAAGAACCCTCCTTCTGAGTAGGCCTGGGCCCACTCCTGGGAGGGCGCCTTTGGAGGTGGCTGGTCCGCTCATTTGCTGGCCCTTCTCCCTCGCTGCCATGTTACGGCATCAAGGATCGCCCCAGGCTCGGCCGCTCCGGAGCTCCTCTCCCACACCCACTCCCTGAAGTTGTAGCTCCTGGCTCTTCTGAGCGCCCACCTGAGCAGCTGCGGAGAACGGCCTTGAGATAAGCCCTTCGGCTTTTCCATCTCGATATCCGGAGGCCACGTCCCCCCATCTGAAGAATCTGAATCTCCCTGACCTTGAAAGTCCTGCCAAGAGCAACTGCCCCTTTCCTTCCCAACATCGGCGGCGGCAGCTTTTCACCCCAGCTGCGTTTTTTGGAGTGCAGCCTGTACATTAATGGGACAGGACTTTAATGGGAAAATCACAGCCTAGACATGCACGTTGCCATGCCCAGATCTCCTCCTCCAGAAACACGATGATCTCGCGTACCAGCTCAACGTTTTGCTCACATCTATGGGCTTGCTCTGGATGCATTCCAAAGAAGTACCCACTTTACTGAGGGAGACGTTTCCTTGTGTCTTCTCCATTGGGGGCGTCTCTTTCCTTCCCGACGCAAGTTGATTATCATCTTGGCTTAGACACAGCTGCTCCAAACGGGATTTTCTTGCCCCCAATCCATTCTCAGCCAGCACGCCATGCACTTCCTGACCCAGTTATTGTGCCTTGTGCCTTCGAGGCGTTGTGCGTACAAGGCTCCCTGTATCCTTTTGCCCACCCTGCACAAAGGAGAGGAGCTGGGCTAAGCCCTTCAGCAGCCAAGGGGTACCTGCTCCCGTTCCCAGCCTACTCCTACTGCATTTCTGCCCAAATTCATTACTGGAAGAAGGATGGGTCGGAAGAGCACATGAGGTTCAGCCGCTGTGCGAGAATCAAGCAAGTCTGCCCATGGACTCAGTGGGAGACCCTCTGGGAATTGCACGGATGCCACCTGGGGAAGGACTGGGCCCTTAAATGAGAACGTGAGAATCCAGACCTGCATTTTGCATTCTACAGTCATGGCATTTCCCTGAACAATTTCCACATCAGTTTGCATTCGAACAAGTCTTCCTCTTAACATGTGCCATTTCCTCAAACACGTACAACTTTGCAGTCAATTCCCGGTAACTCACACAGATTTTTTCCTCAGAGTTGTGTAGTAACATTCAGAGAAGAGCAAAAACGGATCATAGTTCTCCCTTGTTCCACCTTTTCGGAGGACACACCAGGGACTGAACCTCCACCCGAGCAAAGTACAGTCCTCTTCACACTGGATTAAACAACCTGCTTGCTGACTCCACCCCATCCCGCCCGGTCTTGTCCTTCTGGTGGGTTTGCAGTTCTGGAATGTCTTAATCCGCCCCCTATTAATGTGCTGTTGTATTCACTTAACCCTTTGACTGTTGTCTCAATACAGACCCATAGAAACTCAACAAAGGGCCTATTCTTCGAGATGCTCATAAAAAGCAAGCAGGGGGTGACCGCAATGAAAACCCCGCTTGTTGTGATTCTAAACTGTGTGCTAGGAGCTGTGGAAAATGCAAGGGATGGGAGGTGAATGTGAACCTGACCTCAGACCGCAGTGCAGGCTCCCTTTCCCCACCACCATCGCTGTTATTTACAGTCCCTACCAAAACTGCGCAAACAACAAACCGGACCCTGTACAATGACCGAGCAGCAGGCTAGATTTATGGTCCCTGGAGTTTGTTATGGTAACAGACAGAGAGAAAGCCTGTCCTTTTCTCCTACAGATGGAAAGAAAGCCTTCTGGTAAATCAGGAAGCTTCAGTCATGAAAGCCAGGACAAGATATTTGGATGCGCAAGGAGGCGTTTAACCCTTGGGAAGGCAGGGGCATTTGTGCGCAGAGTAAAGCACAGGCAGGACTCTGCTCTTTCGCACGCCGGAGCTGGTGAGAATGAGAGCAAAGCTGTGCACAAGCGGCCCCTTTAAAAACAAAGCTGGATAAATCAGCATCTTGCATTAACACAGAGGGTTGGCATCTTTGCATAGTTGCCCGGGCCTTTTATGGCTTTCGAGGTTAAAACCAGCACTTTGAACTGAGCCCAGAATGGCTCTGGAAACCAAGTTCGCCCTCTTAATACTTGTGTTATGTGGTCGCTAGGCCACACATGACTAGCTGAGAAGATAAAGGTTTTGTGGGCTCTCAAGTTATGTATTCATTTACACAAGTGGTATAAATTACACTACCTGGGCTCATTTTCTAATTTTTGCCTATCCCCTCCTATTAGTAAAGGTGCTGGGTGAAAGCGCAACACTCTTTCTGTTGACGTTCTAGTCAGTTCTGACATTTCACCAGGCATTATACAAATGCTTCCAAATAGGCTGTGGTGGCTAGAAACTAGCTTTAAAAAATGGGATATTGAGGTAGTTCCATTCTGTGTCCTCGAAAAGCAACACGGGTGTGCAACACAATCATGGAACACGTGGCTCCTTGACAGTGGCCTGCGTACAGTGGCAAACTGAGCGAGGTGATTGGTGTGGGACCAAGGTTTATGGTTGGTCAGCTTACCCTGTGAGTGGCCTGGGGGAAGGGGGAAGGAAAGGCACATTCAGCCCACCACCCATGGCTGGATCATTCCTGGTTAGTCATGCTTGGCAGATGCCGCTGACTTAGGGTAGGTTGGTCCCTCTGGCCCAGGGTTGCTGGCACTGGACTGCAGGTCTTCAGTGCAGGGTCTTTCACATTCTTGCAACTTGGAATCCGTGCTGGCTGCTGGGAATCCTTTGAATGGGGACACTCT